GAATATTTACACCAAGAATTGACCTATCTAGTCGTTGAACTGCATCAACTTTTAATTAATTTTCCTTCTACCTCTCTCGATATTTTGTCTCTAATTGATTGGGCTGTTTTATTAATAGTTCTGGATAAATTTTCTTTGTTTATAACTAAATTGAGCCCAGATAGGAGTGGATTTATAATTCTTTGAAATCCCGAATCTTCAATAATTGATAAAGGCCGGCCATTTACAGTAACAAGTTCTAGTATATAACTCATCAAATCATTAGATGATATATTTATACTTATAAGCTTTTTTGGAAAAAAGGTTTCTATATTAATTTTAGGTTTTTTTGCCAATAACAATTCCTGATATTTGGTTTTTTCATTTAAATAATTTAAATATTCATTGTTGTGATTTCTTTCCAGGTGTCTTTCTAAATTTGACAAGTGATTACCAGACATTTTTACTTTGCAATATGAACATATTGATTTTTTTTCTATTGTATTAAGGGTAAAATGCTTATCAAATATGACTTTATCTTTAATCTTAAATCTATAAAAAGAGAACAATTTTTTTAAATAGCAATGATTTTATAATTAAAAAAGAGATATTTATAAATTTAATTTCATTTATAATATGCACTTCATTAATATCTTGTAAAAATTAAACTGAACCAAAAATAAATGATTAGCATATATTAATTTTAAAATCATTTTAATAAGTTCACAAAAACTGCCCTACATTTAACAATTTTTAAGTTAGATGTTTAGAATTTTTTAAATTAACAATATAATAATTTTTACTTTGATTTGTTAACCATTTTCTTCTAATTAATAATCTTTAAGAATAATAAGATAAAAATTTAAAAATAAATGGCGTAAATTAATTCTATTGTTTAAAATTTTTTAACACTCCAATAGGAATCGAGAATAAATTTAAAAATGGCATAAATGAATTAAGTTGTTTAAAATTTATTAAGACTTCATTTAATTGGAAATTTGAAAATATAATATTTGTATTTACATATATTAATATATGATTTTAAATAATACACTGAACCCGATTGAACCCGGGTTCAAATAAAATTCTTGGGTTCGGTTCGGGGTTTTGAAAATTTTATAAATGGGGTTCAGGTTCGGGTTCAGATTTGTTTTCTAAAAACCCTAGTTCACTTCTCCGGGTTCGGTTCGAATCCCTGGTTCTACCCCTCCTCCCTTAAAGAAAAATCTTGGATACAGCCATGACTACGAATAATGTGGCGGCTAAGAAATATTTTGGAATGCCAATTTTGCAGCAATCTGCAAAAAAATCTTTCTCAATACCAATTCTAGTATCTATATTAATAAAAGGCATAAAATATACTGTGTCACACGATTAGCCAATAGAATTCTTTAAAAAAATTCGTGCCTTATCAAGTCAATTATTTGTACCTGATAATAGTCAATTATAATTTTGTTAATATATTATGTAATATTCCACTTCTTTATTAATTATAGGACGTTTATCCTACTTAAATAGAGAGTGATTTTTAATAATATTTAATTAATATTAAATTCGGAAGTATTTAAGTTATGCTAAATTGTAGTTTTAATCTCCATGATATTTAGCGCCACCTATAATATTATATTTTATTTTAAATAGCATAATATTTCAAAGTGGAAATGTAAATGTTTTGTCTTAATTGATGTCAAATATATTGTTCTTTCTATATATCTATAATTTATCTATCTATCATAGCAATTTTAAGCCAATTTAGATCATATTAGCAAAATGGATTTAATCTCCTATAAATCATGGAAAGCATTTCAGAAGTATTTTGAGGCAATAAGCAGGAAGGAACATTAGTATGAAAAAAATGTTTGCAATCCTACAAGAGCTAAGGAATTCAAGTCTATAATATATATTCAATAAAAATCATCATAGCTTAACCATATCAAACACGCATTCATAAACCAAATCGAACTGCCATTTTCAAAAAAAAAACAATACTGAATTACAAAACATATAATAATATAAATATAATTACAATATTAACATAATTAGATATATTTTTTAACAGACACCACATCGAGCAAAACCATCATAGACAAGATACCATCATCATCATTATTAAATAATTAGATATATTTTTTAACAGACACCACATCGAGCAAAACCATCATAGACAAGATACCATCATCATCATCAGTAAATTTTATTTTATACTTTCAATTTACACGTCTTATTTTCAGTTATTTACGGCAAGTTACGAGCAAGGAAACTGCACGAAAAACAAACTTACATAATAAATAGATATAATATTAAATAAGTTTTTTAAGGTTATCTCATAGGCAATGTAAGTTAAAATTTTTATAAATACTATTTTTTTAGATTCCTGCACAAAAAACAAACTTACATAATAAATACATATAATATTAAATAAGTTTTTTAAGGTTATCTCATAGGCAATGTGAGTTAAAATTTTTATAAATACTTTTTTAGATTCCTGCACAAAAAAATAAAATACAGTAGATAAATTTATAATAAATTAAAAACATAAAAATAAGTTATTTAACATTTATGAATTATAATGATTATTGCACCAATAATTGCACAAATATATTTTGCAAATATATCATTGGGTAAGATATATAAGGAAATATTTTTCACACTTACACAAAATAAATTTAAAAATATAAAATATTTGTATTAATTAAATTTTTATTTTTACTTTTTTAAAATATATGTTATTTTGGACATCGTTTATATATTTTTTAACTGGTCATTGCTTTATTTACTTGAATGGGTTAATAAAATATATTATCAATAGGTAATGACGTATAATTGTAAATAATATTGACATTGCTTTTAAACATGTATATATCTCTACTTTTAGATGAATTTATCAGTTATTGAGATTGGCTTAAGTGGTATTAGTTTTATATTTTGGTTTTTATTGGTATTAGTATTGTAATAATAATAAAAGATGATACTATTTATAAAGTAACTTTTGTACTAAGTGAAAAAAAGTAAAGGCACATTGAATATGACATGTTAGAAACAGTTATGTCAAAATCGCTATTCTGCTATAATTTAATTTTATGCTACTACTGTTTATGTTTCTATAGTCATATTTATAAAAATCTTCTAAGTTATATTTGCGACTTATACAGTAGCTACAATTGATATTTAAGTATTCTATAGAAAAAGAGCAAGACAGAGGTATAATATACCTCATATATACTTACGTTTTATCTGAGCAATTTTATATTTGAAAATTCATTTATCTATTCTGTTTTACCCACGTTAAGTGGCAGATTTAGGGAAGTTAAAATTTTTATAAATACTATTTTTTTATATTCCTGCACAAAAAACAAACTTACATAATAAATACATATAATATTAAATAAGTTTTTTAAGGTTATCTCAGGCAATGTAAGTTAAAATTTTTATAAATACTATTTTATTATTTTTTTTAGATTCCTACACAAGGACCATTCAACAAAACCAAACAATGGAACGTTTTATACTACCAAAATCTAAAGAGCAAGGCATTATTGCTTCAACATCCTATAGAGTAAATTTTATATTTTTTAAATTTATATTGTATGTTAGCTGATAGCCCGTCAAGATTGACGAGGAATCAGATTTTTCCTATCTTATAAGATGTGATTCCGAAATATATATTTATTAGGTGAGGGGCTATTCTAATATTTTCCATTATTTTTTATAAATATGTTTATGAAGTATATATTTAGTAATTTTATTTTATGTCCACAATAATAAATATTTTAAACTAAACTTATTTTTATAAAATTGAGTAATTCTTATATTTTTAAATTTTAATAATAAATCAACATAAGGAGAAAGCTAGAAAGAGACAGGCACTTTGTCGTAGCAAGAAAAGGCACGAGCAAAGTCTTATTCCTTCAACATCCAACCATCTTGAAGATACTGGAAATAAACAATCAATGTATTATTGCTTCAACATCCAATCATCTTGAAGATACTAAAAATCAAGAACAAGTTGAACATTACTGTGGGCCATTAAAATACTATTTTATTATTTTTTTAAGATTCCTACACAAGATACCATTCAACAAAACCAAACAATGGAACGTTTCATACTACCAAAATCTAAAGAGCAAGGCATTATTGCTTCAACATGCTATAGAGTAAATTATATATTTTTTAATTTTATTGTATGTTAGCTGATAACCCGTCAAGAATGACGTGGAATCAGATTTTAGTAAATATTTAGTAATTTTATTTTATGTCCACAATAATAAATATTTTAAAATAAACTTATTTTTATAAAATTGAGTAATTCTTATATTTTTAAATTTTAATAATAAATCAACATAAGGAGAAAGCTAGAAAGAGACAGGCACTTTGTCATAGCAAGAAAAGGCACGAGCAAAGTCTTATTCCTTCAACATCCAACTATCTTGAATATACTGGAAATAAACAATCAAATTCACGCGGTGGGGAGTGAACAGAAATGCTGACTAACAGGAGCTCTGGTGGATAATGTAGTATTTGGGGTTCCAATAAGAGACATTGTTTCCATGTAATAAATCTTAATTATTGGGTAAAATTTTCTTTTATCTTTTAAATGTGAGCAAGGTGTATATTTGTGTCCTTTATTGACAATAATTAAAATGTCTCAAGCACCGGGATGTCTCGACTATATTTAAGAACCTGGGAGCATTAATATCTATCATCCTTTCATAGATTGAGTTTTTAAAGATATAAAAATAGTTATAAAGGAGAAAATTCTAATTCCCCGTCATTCTTGACGGGTTATTAGCTAGTTATTAATAAAATTTTTAATTCAGAAATTCATCTAAAATAAATATTATTAATTTTATAATTTGTTAAAATTTTATCTTGCCTAATGTTTTAGTTCAAGAGGATTATGGTGTGATTTTATTGATATCAAAAATATACTTAAAAAGCATATAATCTCTATTTTATTTATATTTATAAATGATCATTATCTTAAAAATTTTTTTTAACTAAATATTTTAGGATTTGATATATGACATTTTAAAATGTGACACAGATCAAATAACTAAATTTCCTAAAAGACATTAATTGCGATGCGAATAGCAATTTTAATTGTTTTTATTTTAGGGCATGGCAAAGCTTATGTTGTAATATACTTATATACATTTAAAAGTTTAAAAATAAATTTTAGGCACATAATTGCGCAGTTAAAACTTATCCTGAAAATGATGACAAGTTAAATATAATGTTTTATTTTTATTGATTTAAACCTATAGCCTTAAAATGTCAGAATATATAATCAATCTTGATTCGCCGGCCGAAAGCAGATGGGATGCTTTAGTTAATGGTAGAAAACAAGAAGTTTATTAAAATTAATTATAATTTACAATTTTTATTTTTTTTAGCTTTTACATTTATTTGAAGTGTTCTCAGAAATTGACAATGAATATTTTAAAGGATATTTAATGAAATTTGTAGATAAATATCTAGTAAGTTTGAAGTATGAATTTTTACATTGATTAAAATTTGATTTCTATAATTAGCTTTCAGATAATATATGTATAAAGGGGTGTTTAGCAACTTTTATCTTTATTGTCTATATAAGTATTTATTTAAATACTATATTTATGAAATAGCTTGACTAAACCCTATTTAAATGATAGAGAGTATATTAATTTATTTTAGCTTTTATTAAAAAGATAACATTCGATTATGTTTGAATGTAGAAATTTTTACCAATATAAGGCTATTGGCTCATTAGGCTGTATTTATAGTAAGTTTGATGATAGCATGATATTGCTTTCAAAGATGATAGATCCAAAATCAAATTTAATGTGCTATATAATACCCTATTATATAATCGGTTAATTTTAGTCAACCCCAAAATGGCTTAGATGAGTTTTTAGGTGAAAAAATTGGCTAATTAGACCTAACATAGAGCTAAACCTAATTAGATTTAGCTGAAAACTTGATCTATAAGTCATTGTTTATGAACTGCTCAGGGTTTTTGGTAGGGCTGTGCCTAGTGTGGTAAAATTGCTTGGTTGGGTCAAATTAGCATAATTTTTGGTTGGGGTTTTGGTCGAAAAAATGAACCAAAATCAAAGCAACCAAATTGATCCACCTGGTTGACCAAATCCATCGACCCGATTTGTTTTATTTAAATGTGAATATTTTATTATTATCACATCAATATTTATCAACAAAAAAACATATTGTATAATATTTTTTATTTATATAATATTATATTATGAAATTAAATTTATATTATGTTATGAAAATGGTTTGATGTTTTTTAATTAAAAAAAATGATATGCTGCTAAATTGTAATATCATTTTTACAATAAATTTATGATTTTCACACCTAAAATTTTAAGCAAAATATAATCATAGTTCATTTGATAAGAATTTTAAATTTTTTGTAAATAAATCTATTTTGAGAAATTCTTTTGTGAATTTTTATATAAATAAACAATCTTTTAGATTGAAATCTTTTATAGTTTTTTTATTTTTCGTTTTTATGAAATTATTTTTAAGTATATTAAAAGAAGTGGTAGTTTCTAAATAATTTATTTTTAAATATTTATATAAAACTTCTATATGTTATTTATAAGATCTTTTTAAGAATAATATTTTAATGAGATAATTGTCATAATTGTTATTTTTTAACATTTTTGAAAGTTTTTGGCACAAAAGGGTAAAATCAAAATATTTTTATAAAGATAATAAATTATAAATTAAATGAAGATGTTCCTATAATAAATGATAATTATATCTGTATTTTTAAGATATTAGATCTTTTTGTCACAAATTGGAAATAATTAATATTGCAAACATTTAAATAAAACTTCAGTTAATATGTACCCTGGATAAGTCACAATTGTCATAATCGTTATTTTTAAGGTTAATAGAATTTTTTGATGCAAATTGGCAAAAATAGGTACTCTAAAAAAATTTTAAAATTAAAGATTATGCAACTTGTCACTTATTTAGGGTACATCTTCCCTGAAATTTTATTTAAACATGCTTGCTACATTTATTTTTGACAATTTGCGTCATAAAAATTCTATTAACCTTAAAAATAACGATTATGACAATTGTCACTTATCCAGGGTACATAACTGAAGTTTTATTGAAAAATGTTAAAATTTGAATATCGGGGGGGAGGGGAGGCTAACTTCACGCTATAATATAAGGTTTAAAATTTGATTTCCGAAATAAATAATGAAGATAAGACTTAATTTGAGGCATCATTAGGAAGAGAAAAAAATTCTGTATCGTTGTACATTAAGAAATTTAAAAAAAAATTTGAGTGTTTTTTATTTTTGGCGCCATATTTTTAATGGTCAGTAGCTGGAAAACGGTAATGGTACAAATCAAACTGAAAACGTTACAAATTGACAAATCATTTTCTATCGACCTATACACTTTTTATTTTTAAATTCAAAAGTTGGAGTGGGGTGTCGTGAAGTTGCCCCCCCCCCCATTTTGTTATTTGAAAATCTCAAAAACGGTGATGTTACAAATCGATCTGAAAACGGTACAAAGCGGGTACACATCAGTCCAACTGATAAACCATTAAAAATCCAAAATTGGGGGGCCAATTTCACGTACCTTCTTTATAATAAAAATTTATTTTTACACATTTGTGCCAAAAAATTTCAAAAAGGTTAAAAAATGACGAATATTATGACATTTATCACATTAAAATATTATCCTTAAAAAGATCTTATAAATAACATAAAAAAGTCTGATATAAATATTTAAAAATAAATTATTTAGAAATTACCACTTCTTTTAATATACTTAAAAAAAATTTCAGAAAAACGATTAAAAAAAACTATAAAAGATTTCATTCACCTAAAAGATTGTTTAAGTACTTGCGGCTTACCCACAAACGTGTAGAGGGCTCCTTATATTTTTTAACTTTACACCCCAATTAACTTATGATCTAATTAGATGGAAATGAAGAAAACCTAGCGTAGCTCTGTTAATTCAACGTCAGAGGGTATATGCGCTATATATCACGTACAAAAAAGATTTATTTACAAAAAGATTTAAAATTCTTATCAAATGAACTATGATTATATTTTGCTTAAAATTTTGGGCGTGGAAATCACAAATTTATTGTTAAAATGATATTACAATTTAGCAGCATATCATTTTTTTATTAAAAAACATCAAACCATTCATGACATAATATTAATTTAATTTGATAATATAATATTATATAAATAAAAAATATTATATAATATCATGTTTTTTTGTTGATAAATATTGATGTGATAATAATAAAATATTTAATATAAATAAAATAAATTGGGTCGATGCTTTGCTCGGGTGCGGGTCGGTGCTCGGGTCGATGGATTTGGTCAACCAATTTGGTTGCTTTGGTTTTGGTTCATTTTTTCGACCAAAAACCAGGGTCGTGGTCGTGTAAAACCAACTAATTTACCACACTAGCTATGCCGATATTAAATATCGGATCGGCACCAATATTTAGCGTTTTCCAAAAATATCGGATTGGGCCGATACATGTAAAAACCCGATCTGATCCGATCTTTTTACTTTTCTTTTTTTTGTTATTTTATTTATATTTATTTTACATTAATAATCTAAATAATTTTTTTTAAAACAATCCAAATGCACAAAACCCCTTAAATTTTATTTCGTTTTTTAAATAGATTTATAGTAGTGTTGTTAAACGCCTCAATTTGAGCCTATTTTTAAAAACGGCTAACTCAAAATAATATTCAGAAAAATATTATGCAGGCCTAAAGATTTTGCTCATAGATGGCAATAGGATTAAGCATCTATTGGCCAAATCTTGACGCTTAGGCAATATTTTCCGAACTATAATGTTGAGTTAGCCGTTTTTAAAAATCGGCTCTAATCAAGCCGTTTACCAACACTAATTTATAGTATTTTAAAAGTTTTTTTTTAAAAATAGAGAAACACCCAAAGTTTTATTTATTTTAAATCTTTTTAAATAATAACGTCAATTTTATTATTTATACTTTAAATAAAAGAATTTTTTCAAATATTATATCTGAATTATGGAAATATTTTACAAAAGACAAAGATAATTTTGCAAAAAAAACTCATTTAATACTACCTATCTACCTAAAAAATTTTTAATTATTGTAGAAATAAAAAAATTAAATGCATAATTCTTTTTTGCATAAAAAATATTGATTTCTTAATTACATTTGGTTCAAAGGGAGGTAGTTAAAAATCAATATAAATATCGGACCGGTATCGGATCGAATTTGAGCCAATATCGAATCGTTGAAAAATATGTGGATCGCACAGCTCTAGTTTTGGGAATCTTTCAGTGAATGAAACTTTGAATTATGATTATATGAGGGCCCAAAGAGCTCAGCTAATTGTCTATCAGGGTTACGTAAGATAAGTCTAGCTTTAATTTATATATAAATATAAAAAAAATAATTAAATAGACTTATCTTATGTAATGCTGACTGACGATTAATTGAGCTCCTTAGCAGATGCCTAATTTTTGACTAATTCCTACCAGATTTTTAGGCAAAGCCTAATTAAGCTTTTTAGCTGATTATACAACACTATCTTACTTTTTGATTTATCCACTCATGATTTTTAGCTTGCATTAATTTTCAAATTAAAAAATGATAATAGTTACAAAAAGCATTTTGTTTCTTGTAAATTTCAAATAATGCATTATATTATTATATTGTCCATATTGATAATCATATTATTTTGTATTTAAAAAAAACTCAAGATAGCATTTTTCTTCTTTTATAATAAAATACTACTCTACATGATGCTTTATAGAAAACCAATTGCTCAATTTGTATGAATAGTATAAACACCAGTTTGAACATTTGAACTTATTAAAAAATAATTTATTAATGCTATATAAATAATATTATATAAAAATATTATCTTAGCCTCCTTAGGCCTTTGCTCATTGAAAAACGCAGCTAAAATATCAAATATATCAAGATAAAAGTAAAATAATGTGAAATTAAAAGTTTGAACACCATTGTAGAAGATGATAGAATTGAATAAGGAGGGTTTTGAAGATGTAAAAATATTGATTTGGAATCTTTTATTAATCCAATTAAATTTGCAACCATAAAATTAAATGTATAAAAACATTAAAATAAAATAAATTTAAAAAATTATAAGAAATATAAAAAGTACAATTATTTCCAATAATAAAAAATAAGTGGTAAGTACAAACATCAAAATCTTAAATCATAAAAAATATATCATATCTTTTAAGATTAACATAACTCTTTCGTTTTTCCCCTTTAAAATATCCTCATTTACATCAATATAAATTATCTCAAAAAAAACTTTAAACAAATAGATTCTTCATGTAAATATACAAAAAATTAGATATAAATACAATATCGCAATAAATAATGATATTCTAATTAAAAGTCACATATAATTTGTAATCTTTATCTCTTGTAAACTACTCACGATGATTGACACTTCATCAATA